AATAAGTTCAGGGCGTTAAATTAAATAAATTCGAAATCGCTTTTCTAGACGAAAACCTAACGCGCCAACCAAAAAAATTAGCAATTACGACCATTGGATTTATTCTCGCCCTACGTGCAGAGTCGAAAGGCTTCTGCAATCGCCAGAACTGCTCAATTGACCGATTATCCGGCTTTCTGTAGTACCCAGAGGGCTTCGAGTAGTTAGTTCTACATAGAGGGCAGCGAATTGGATGAAAAGGTGCGACGAGGTGGCGCTGTTCGGGCTTCGCGCGTATATCCGGGCTGCAGATCGTCTAGAAAAAAAAATATTTTGTCATAAAATATAAGCGGAACCAAAAAAATTCAATGAATAAAATTAATTTTATTTTTAAACCTCTTCTTTGATATGACAATCATCAACCAATCATCAATCAGTTCAAACATAATGTGCCAGTCTGTAAAAACAAACTTGGTTGTACCTTCCGAGAACAAACGGGGTTAGTGTCAGGTAGCTTGTTCCTTATAATTTACATATATAATTATATTATATAAGGTTATACTCATCAGTAACAGCAACCAAGCACCTTATTGACATGGGGCGACATCTAGTGGTTGTAAATGGAGAATATATTCACCAACGTGACATCACATGAAAGTTCGACCAGTCTTTGACTAACCTTTCTCTCAGTTTAGTTTGAAAAAATAGAGCTGTAGTCAGACTTGACATTTCATTTTTTAACCCCACGAGGCTCTCGAAATAAACACAACCCTTAAGTCCAATTTCTACAGGAACCTGATACAGATTCGCGATGATATAGTATCTTGACATCATTTGGTTTTGTCTCCTTCTCCGTCTTTTTTGCTGCCGTCGCCGCCATCGTCACTTTTCTCGTCGTCATCATCGTCATCATCATCATCCTCCTCAGAGTCATCGTCATCACTGTCGTCGTCATCATCGTCAGCATCAGCCTGACGACCTGCAGGAGAAGAAACAGAATTTACAATCGGCTTCCAAGAGCGACACAAAAACAAGGAAACGACCAAAAACAACGTTTCGTATCTCGACCGCGAGTAGAGATGAAGAGAGGCGAGTCGCCATGCCACGATCCAAAATGATCCAGACACGCCACCTGGCGCGAACGATCGTATGCACTGATGCGCCACCTGGTGACTCACCTCCGTAGCCGCCGAAGCTGTAACCGCTGAATCCCGAAGCCCCGTCGTTGTCATCGTCGTCTCCTCCTCCTCCCCATGGACTGTTGTACTCCAGTCCCATCGAACCGGCCTGTCTTCCGTACGACATCGACCGAGCTGCGAGAGAACGTGCGAGAGAGAGAGCGGATGCTGTGAGTAACGCGACGCGAATCACTGATAACGCCGTCGTCGTCGTCGACTTCAGATCCGAAGGTCCAGGGTTCAAGTACCCTCGTGTGAGTACCTCTGTCGTGCGATTACCTCTGTACTGCGATTACCTCTGTACTGCGATTACCTCTGTACTGCGATTACCTCTGTACTGCGATTACCTCTGCTACGCCATTACTATCGTACTGCATTCTTCTGTACTGCGTTATTTACCTCTGTACTCGATTACTCTGTTACTGCAATTACCTCTGTACTGCCGATTACCTCTTGTACTGTATTTACCTCTTACGCGATTTAATCTGTACTGCGATTACTCTGTACGCGATTACCTCTGTCTGCGATTACCTCTGTTACGCGATTACCTCTGTACTGCGATTACCTCCTTACTGCCATTACCTCTTACTGCCGATTACTCTGTTACTGCCGATTACATCTGTACTGCGAGTACTCTTTACTGCCCGATTACTTCTGTACTCGATTACTTCTGTACTGGCATTACCTCTGTACTGCATACCTCTGTACTGCGATTACTTCTGTACTGCGTTTACCTCGTGTACTGCATTCACCTCTGTACTGCGATTTACCTCTGTACTGCGATTACATCTTACTGCGATTACCTCTGTACTGCGATACCTCTGTACTGCGATTACCTCTGTACTGCGATTACCTTCGTACTCGTACACTCTGTACTGCGATTTACCTCTGTACTCCGATTTACCTTCTGTACTGCCGATTACCTCTGTACTCCGATTACCTCTGTATGCGATACATCTGTTACTGCGATTACCTCTGTTACTGGATTACTCTGTACTGCGATACCTCTGTACTCATTTACTCTCTGTACTGCGATTACCTCTGTACTGCGATTACTTCTGTACTGCGATTACCTCTGTACTGCGATTACCTCTGTACTGCGATTACCTCTGTACTGCGATACTCTGTCGTGCGATTACCTCTGTACTGCGATTACCTCTGTACTGCCCGATTACCTCTGTACTGCAGAGACCTCGTCGTGTCCCCACCTACACTTTGTCTCGATTTTTTTCCCGCTCGTACCTTCTACAGGATAATGGTTTTATTGCCTACCGCCGTGAGGCTAACACCTCACTGCGCAATAACGATTACTTCCTTCTAATAAAGTTTATCCAGTTAGATCCAAAGTAAGTTAAAAATAACTTACACTGACGAACTAAACTTATGTTGATCTAACTTAGATAAAACTTTATTAGCGTGTGAACTATAAGGATCAGATGAAATATTCGAGACCTTTATCGTTATTCGAAACCAAAGCATCGCAGAAGCGAAAGGCACTACGCTGGAGAGGTACGGCGTGAATTAGCAGCTTCCCAGTGAAAATATCTCATTTCTTATCTACAGTAAGTAGATCGCCGTTTCCTTCTATTTCCACAATCTAGTAAAATTATCAAGGTATCTCTCGTTTCCCGACGATTAAGACAGCTACTAATCCGTCATCCAATATTAACCCGGTCCCCCGTGCCCATAACGCGCGCCCGTGATACGTGCCACAAATCAGCAAAGGCACGTAAAACATCAAACGAACAATGTGTTTAGACTCGCTTCTTGCCATTCTGATTTTCTCAATTATAGAAGGCTGCCGAAGCTTGACAAAGACCGATTAATTTTCCGCACGACGGCTCTCGCCGGAACTTTAACGCGTGTACTCACTCACATGCTCAGGTCCTTGTGTCCTGCGTATCGTACCGCACTCGACAGGAATGACGCTGTCCTTTCTCGTACTTTAAGCCTTGCGCTCACGTGATCCCACAGCAAGCACGTCGGCCAACAAGCAACGTCTATCGTCCATTCTACTTCCAAACTCTCGCTCCTAATCTCCTATTACGGTGGACAGCGAGGAGAACGAACGGCCGCATTCCAATTTGTTCGAGACGTTCAACCATGTGTATTCGACAAATGAATAAAATCTCAACTAGCAACGTCTTCGAATACAATCAGGCATAGGCCTAGCTCTTTCGCGTGAGTCAGTTAAGTTGTACTCATGCACTGTGCTTGCTCTCTATGATTCCACTTGCTTTACGTCCCATATAGGGCGGATAACATTTTCGACATCTACGAACAAATCGGGCGAACGAATTAAATTCGTATTCTCGGCGGGTCCACTCCATAGCATAAATACTACACACAATTTATGGAACATCGATTAAGCAATCGTTACGAGAATTTTTTTTAACATTTAAAATATAAACAACTATTACTAGAATATTCCTGTAAATGACTACTATGCATCTCAACAAGAATATTGGCCTAATTATGCAGACAAAACCTGAAACAATAAAATGAAATAAGCAATGTAAAGCCCAATAAAAAAACATGTAGTAAATACTACGCTTGCGGCCTTTTGATAACATATAAATGATTGTAGATATTTAATACGAACTGACACACCCGCCCTTCTATTAATAGTACAATTAACTTAGCTTTATATTTAATTGAAAACTTAAAACAGAAAAAAGCCTTACAATCTTGTATGTTTCCGCTCCCCAACACTGACACTTGCCTATTTCAAACTGGCTCGTCCTCACAGAGAAGTTGTTCCCAGAAGCAGCACTTAAACACACGCCACCTGCAATAGAACGTGCGGTTCGCATTGACACAGTCAATCTCATTGCCAAGTACCTCACTGCTCTTCGATCGCTTGTTCGTGTGAGTAAAATGACTGCAGGGTTGATATATATTTATAAGATACATGTTCCTATCGCATGCAATACTATGCATAGTGCAATTCATGCAATATGTGGAGGAAGAGGAGAGCGACTGAGATAGAGAAGGGCCGAAGATCAGAGAGCAGAGAGGAGAGAGAGATTAGAGAAGAGCAGAGAGAGAGAGAGAAGAGAAAAGAGAGAGAGAGAGAGAGAGAGAGAAAGAAAGAGAAAGAGAGAGAGAAAGAGAGAGCGAGAGAGAGAGAGAAAGAGGGAGAGGGGAACAAGAAAAATTCGAAAAGGAGTGAAGGCGATGAGGTAAAACAACTGACCATGCTCCCAGACCCCTCGTTCGCACTCCGCGCAAACAGCATCCCGGAGTATGCAGCTGCATGCATGAGTCGACAAGCACTTCCTCCCGTGACACACCCAAGCCTCGCAAAAATCACAGATCGCCCCCTGAAAATAAAATCCGTGAGAAAGGTGCAACATATGGTCAGGAGTGAATAATAGAGTGAATAATATCTCTACTATTCACTCCTGATATGGCAATACGGCCTTATGTCCCACCGGGAGACCAAGAGGATAAGGAGTAAGAAGAATATGGTAATATAGAGGCGTCATGTGCCAGTCGCTTCCTGCCGAAACACACAAAAGCTACTGATCACGTTCCTGCTCTGTTACTAACTCTCTTACCATCCCTCATGCTACCCCTTTTTTCCTTCTTTTCTTCGTCATTTCCTCCTTTGAGGGAATGACTGTGAGCTATAGATAATAGCATGAATACGGCGGATATATACACAAATTACATATAATAAACATATTACATATAATAAACAACGTATGTAGGTACATGTATGCGGATATGCTTACCACCATGGCCATCCCCGTTGAAAACTGTCCTGGGTGTTTTATAACACAATCTCCCGTTTTCTGCATACACTTTTGTTTACCTATAATTACCATAGTATTAGTGTAATTGCATGAGATTTAGATTTTTGCATTTTTATAATAGCAATCATCAAAAATGTGAATTCAATCACTTGTGCATATTTGATAAATGTAGGCTAGATCTCTATTTAGCTTGTAAAATTATTATATAAAAAATTGTTGAATAACGCACAATTAACTACAGACGATATTGATAAATTTATTTAATTAACCTCTTTTTATATGCATAAATTACCTACCACATTGGGCGCACACTGGCAGCCTTTGCACGCTACTACAAAAGTAGCAAAATGCTCGATTCTTCTGTTTCCTACAAATGATCATTAAACAACTTTTCGAATATTACGAAATTGCTCGAAACCTCAAAATACAATAAATGTAATTGCTATACTATTAATTCTTTACAATATAATATATATATAAATTATATATACAGGGGTTCTTATACATAAGAGGCACAGTGGCGCACCGCCGTTGTCAAATTTAACATCGCCGTTGTGAAAATGTTCCTGTATTTACTGATAAGTAAATCCTGTATCTATATACCTATAAGTATATCAATACATCCTGTATTTGAATCCATCATATATGCATTTTTTTCCCAAACTGGCCATTACCGCCTTTGTCTAATTTTCCCTGGCCTCAGAAGAAACCCATATTATATGTATATATATATATATATATACATATCAATATACTATATACACTATAATATAAGTATATATTATATCATTAATATACATATACAATTAATGAAATACAGTTATAAATCTGAAGTGCTGCTCTTCTGCGCTCTTCACTTACCTCTTGCATTTATCGCCACTCCTGAAACAATAACAATAAAGAGCTGCATTGTGAAATTTTGACATTTTTCGTGTTAATGGATTGTCACATGAATGACGTCTATATATAACTAAGAACATTGTGTATTACAATAGAGTAATTATGGCAGTTATATTGTCACAGGGCATTTTGCGCA